GCCCTTTTTCAAATTAGTATCATTTGCTCCTTCTCTTCTACTTCCCAAATCCTAGAATGTTCTCCACTCTCTTGTCTGATTATCTAATTATATCTCTTATTCTAAGACCCAGTTCACAGCCACTTCAGTCAACTTTCATTGGTCAATCTTTGGACTTGTTATTATCCATATGCCTGTTTGGCCTTTAATTATGTATTGTTTTGTATTGTGTGTGTGTGTGTGTGTGTGTGTATCCTACCTTTTCAACTGTATATTATATAATTTAAATCTAAACATAGATCAAGTGTTTCTAATGATAATACGGTGTTTAAATTGAGATGTACTTTAAGTACAAAATACTAAATTTCAAAGACTTAGAAGGAAAGAGAATGTAAAATATTTCAATGTTTATCACATGTTGAAGTGATATTTTAGATCTACTGGGTTAAATATACTGTTAAAATTAATTTCACCTTTTTAATGTGGCTACTAGAATGTTTAAAATTACAAGTCTCATACTTCTATTGGACACCACTATTCTAAAGAATTCTTACAAGAAACTTAAAAGTTATACTTTAATGTTATTCTTGCTGTCAAAATGCTAATTATAATGCATGGTCTTCATAATTTAGATTACAAGAAGACCAGTCTAGCTCCTTTTGTAAAAGTTTTTGAACAGTTTCTTGAAAACCTGGATAAATCCCGAAAAGGAGAACTTCTCAAGAAGAGTGGTAAGGCTCTACACCTTTCCCTTTTAGATATTTAGATCTTAGTATGGGCAGTGAACAATTTTTAGAGCTCTAGTCTTTGCCATCCCACAAAGTTATTAATTTATCTTATTATCCTCAGTATTCTGAATACTGAAGCCCCTTAATTCAGTTCAGCACATACTCATATAACAACCTTCTGTGTGACAGTACTACAAGGGAAACAAAGATAAATAATACAAAGATGAATTCCATACCATAGCTCCCTACCTTTAGAGAGCACTAACTGGTATAAAACAAAGTACAAAATGCTAAGAAAGAGATCTTATCTGACTGAGATAACCTAAGAAGATTTTTTATGAAAAGGATGGTATTCGAACTCTTTTCAGTGAACTGCTGTACAAATTCTCATCCCCAATGCCAATATACCATGCCTTGAGATATGAGTAGGATTTCTGCAAGCAGAGATCTGATGAAATAAAAGTACATGAGTGGAAAAAGGAGACAGGTTGTTCCCTCTTGAAGGAACAAAGGCATAGAGGCAGGGAAAGTATCAGATCACTTTAGAGGCCGTCGAGTAGTACAGCTAATCAGGAATAAGATGTGTGAGGAAGTGATGGGATGGAAATCTGAAGAGACAGTCTGAAGCCAGAGTATAGACAGCCTTGAATTCCAGTCTTGAGAGTTTAATTCAAATGGGACAGGGAAGCTATTCAAGGTGATTGAGAAAGGGAGTGTCATGATTTGTAGTTTTATCTAGAAAAATAAATCTAGCAACAGTGTATCTGAGGAGAGGTGGGGGATAGACTAGAGCCCGAGAGGTCAGCTGAGCTATTAGCATTAGGACAGCATTGGAGATCTCCAAAAAGTGCAAATACTGGAGCCATCCTTGGGACTTAGAAATGATTTTTTGGAAGTTGGAGAGATGAAAGATGAAAGTAAAAGTGTCACAAGCCAAATGAAAGGCAAGTTTCAAGGAGATGTATCAAGTGTCAAACACAGTAGGGAACTGATAAAATCCTGCTGGATCTGAGAACTAGAAGGAGGTGCTAAGAGGATAGCAGTGTCAGAGTCATTTGAGCAGGAGACATATTGTGTCTCCTTGAGCATGTGTGTAAGCCAAAAGGAAAAAAAATCAGTAATGAATATTATTCAAGAGATTGATACATACCATAGAAAACTGGCAACATTATAGAAATACAAACTCCCTTTCTACTTCATTTTTGATGGTTAAAGAGTAGTGCTTAAGATAATGCTCTCTACTCACAGTAGACACTCAAATATGTGCTTACTGAATGAACAATGATGACTCTGAACTTGGAAAGCCTCATTGAAGCTGCCATTCCAACTGGCCATGTTAAGTCCTTTGTATTCTTCTGTACTAGCTTAGCCTATAATGTGGGCTTCAGCAAATGTGAAAGCAGATCTTTATGCATGATGTGAACTTAATAGAAGCATTAAGCAAATCAGAATGTGAAATAAATGGGCTTTGTTTTATTTTCCTTTACTGTCCTTTGATAAAAATCTTTTCTATTTTAGACTTACAAAAAGACTTCTGAAGATAACTCCCTTCATACCAACATGGATATCTTCTATCTTCAACCAAGAATCAAATACTTCAGAAGCCATTTAATAAATATAGCAGAACTATGTATGTGTCTTAATGCTCAAAGCAAAATTTCCTTTCCTTGAAAAATAATTACGTTAAAATATTCTTGAGACCACCAAAGAAGAGTGTCTTAAGTTCCTGGAATGAGCGATAATGGGAGGATATAAGTGGACTGCAGATAAATTTGCAAAATTTAATATTATAATTCTAAGATTTCTGATATAGATACTCACTTCTACAGTTGCCATATATAGAGGTAAGTGAGCAGTAATATGCCCAAGACTTTAACCTCAGCTCACTGGATACAGCCTCCATATTTCTAGGTGAATGAGGGTTTTGTCTTAAGATGCTTAAGTTAATTATACCTGGAGTATGTATTCAGTCACTTCCTAATTTTGCTTACTGATATTTTTATTGGTCAGGTCACACTCCACTGCCTGTCATTTAAAAATCATTTTTAAATGGTCATCCATACCTAAAACTTTAATTCAAAACTAATGAGTTATTATGTTACAATATCAGGAACTAGTAGAGTATTTTTTACAACTGTTGGCAATTATAGCTCCTAACTCCTCCCTCAGAGAACAATTTTCTAAGCAACCTAGAGAAAATAACCAACTTGACCAGCATAAAACCTTTCGAACTTGTCAAAACACTTGGATTTTCTGTATCTCCAGCCACTTGTTTAATTTTAAAGGTTTCATTTCTTCTGTATTTGATTTTGTGTGACAGATTCTGAAGTGTCAGATTTTTTTTTTTTGCCTTGTTTTACAGCCAGTCTAAACAGAACAGTCATTCTGGCTTACATTCAGTCTTTTGACAAACACTGAGAAGCAAGCTATTAGGCTGTGATTTATGAAAATTTTCCTTCCTTTGCATTTCCTATAACATTATTTTCTCCACAGCCAGTCTCTTTTTATCTTTTGGTTTATATAAAACAGATTCCATAATTCAGTCAGCCCACTGAAATGCCTTGCATTTCCTTCTCTTTTCCAATTTTTTAAGAAAAAAATATTAAAGATGATTGTGCAAAATTCCTCATTTTTTGAGCTTGTTTTCTATGTATTATTCAGTCTTCAGGTTTGGAAAATGGTGACTGGTCAATTAAAACTCCTGAATACAAAATTACTACAGACTCATCAGTCCATCTTAAGTACTCAGAACAAGAGCAGAAGGACTGGTATTACGCTTTCAACAAGAGATGTTTTAGGCATCCAGTATGTTTAGCACTGAAGCATTTTTAATGCTTTAATATTATAGCTCTTGATAAAAGCTGGTATACTAGCCCATATAATAAATTATGGAATATTTTTGGTTGTGTAAGAGTGTTTAATCCTTGAAGACAGCAGAAAGATGCTCGAAGACTACTGATTTGCCAACACGTCCATGTATGAGAATTGTAGAAACTAACAGCACAGAGCTGGTTTCCATCTCCACACTTGCCCAGTTTATGAAGAAACCCAAAGAAAGAAAATATATCCTTCCTTAGCTAATTATTAACAAGAATTAGAAAAATCAGTGGGCTTGCTGGGAAAGAAAGGGAAATGGTCAAAATGTAGTTTTGTCTAAGGAGCTGATTGGCTATCATTGGCCCTTCCTTCTGAAGGTAAATGGATAGCATGGACAAATCTTCCAGATCCTTATTTACTTAGGTAGAAATTCTATCAACAGTTTTTAATAATAACAATAAAAACTTTTTCTGTACATAATTTAATCTTCCTAACAATCCTATGACGTAGCTACTATTATCCCCATTTTACAGATAAGGAAGCAGAGTCGTAAGTATATTAAACTGCCTAAGGTCACCATTAGGTAACCAAGCTGAGATTCAGACAAAGTCTGGAGTCAAAATCCATGTTCTTGTATCAGTCCACAATATTGCCTCTCCCATCTGAAGAGAACTTAAGAATTTTTCATTGCTGTGAAACTCCATTATCTCATTTAATCTTAATTCACTAATATTCATTTGACTATTTGTAAAGACACAACAAATTTTAAAGTAGCTTTCAAAACATTTTAAATGTTCCTGCTTATCTTAAAAGGTGGCCACAACTGTTTTAAAGCCAGTAAGTAGCTCAAATATCGTTAGCTAGTTTAGGTTCTTTTGTAGGGAGGATATGGGAATCAGGACTCCTAGCCTTTTCAAGAATCCTGCTGTATAAACTGGAATCCTGGGCCCCTAGAACAGTTGAGTTTCAGGATATCGCATCCAAAATAGAGGGGAAAGGAATTGTTTCCGTGCCTATGTTCCTTTTCCTGAGGAGGGGAATTTAAACCTTCATAATAATTTCAGTCTAAACTGTATTCCAAGAGCAAAATAATTTGAGGGTTGCCCTTGGTCACGGCTACCTTCAAACGGTGTAAACACAATCTCTGTGGCATCTGGTATTGTTTAATAACTTGTATTCCCTACATTATTTGAGAAAGCAAAGTCAGGAAGTAGCGATAATACCGCCGTCACTACTTTGCCGACAGGGGAGCAGAGGTTGCTTCTCACGAAGTCGCCCTTCGCGTATTAAAAACGCCTCAACTAGGGGGATGGGAAGGGGTCGGCTATCTAAGGATTGCATTGCTCCGAGCAACAGTTCCTGCCAAACCTGCGCGTCCTGTCCTGAATTCTTACCCTTATTTAGACCTCGTCACCACGCCCGTCTGGAAACAACCAGACAGGTCACTGGTTAAAGGAAGTGACTACCGGCAGCTCCTGACCCGGAATCGGATCCTGGCCCCGCCCCCTCCGCCAGACTTCCTCCTGCAACAGGCGTGGGTCACGCTCTCGCTCGCTCTCTTTCTGCCGCCATCTTGGTTCCGCGTTTCCCGCACAGTAAGTGGTATCTTCTCCGCTACTTTTTATCCACAGCCATCCGCCTTTCTTGCGCGCTGAGCTGCCCTGAGGACTGGGAGCTAAGGAAAGTTGGAGGGTTTATGGGGCCACTGAGTTCCCACTCGGCCCTGGGCAGTGTGGCCTTGGGGGCCTCCGGACAAAATGGGGTCTGCTGTTGGTGTCCTGGCAAAAGCAGGGCATAAAGGCTGCTGGCCGGGAGTCCAGGGCTGGGAAGATGAGAGCAGGTGCAGTGTTGAGGGTGGAAGTGGGAACGTCTGCTGTTGGGAACGGCTTCACGAGAACCCAGAAGATGTTAAGGGGTCACAGCTTTGGAAACTCCTCTCCCTGCGGGCGCGCGAGGACCCCCCCCCACACACACACACGATTTTTACTGTGACCAACGAGTGTTGAGACATAAGGCATCCTCTTTTCTCTCTTGGTTCCCGATAGTCGGCAAACGGGAGTCCTGAAAGTCCGAGCCCGGGGGAGGGTGGGGGTGGCTTCACGGTAGCGTCCGAAGTCTCCCGTGCTCGGGAGCCAGACCGGCATCCCCTCCCTTGGATTGAGAACGCAGTGGTGTTGCTCTTTTGTGGGATTTGGAGTGTGGATTTGGACTTCTGGGCACTGGGAAGTCCGCTCTGTGCGGAGTGAAGAGGAGCGGCGAAAGCAGGTGATTCTCTCGTTCAGAGATCTGAAAACGTCATAGTTCACCTATGCTCGCTGCTTTGGGGAGGGTTGTCCCAAACACCCTTACGATTTTTTTCTTAACAGTCCTCTGCAGAATTTTAAGAATACTTGACTGTCGGTTGGGAGCTGGGATCGAATCCCAGTCAATTCAGGCCTCCTTTTTATTCCCTTCCTTCAGAAATGCCTGGTGAAGCCACAGAAACCGTCCCTGCTACAGAGCAGGAGTTGCCACAGCCCCAGGCTGAGACAGGTAGGTTCCCCTAGACCGTTTGCCGTTAATTAAGATTGACCCTGAAAGCATTTGGTGGGTAAAGTGACGAATACAGTTTTGTCTTAGTGTTAACACTCATTAAAGACGGGACCGTAGCTTTACCGTGGAGGAGAGTCCGTAATATTAACTGATGTCCTGAAGGGACTTCGTTAGGGAGTAGAATAAAAACAGTGTGTTTAAGATTCAGGAACATTGAAAGCTCCCTGATTTGCTTTATAGGTCATGGCAGCTGCCCCAAAGAGAGCTCTTCTGTGAAATCCTCCCCTCACGTAGGAAAACTGAGCAGGGAAGGGGCTCAGTGATTCTTACCTATGGGAACTAGGTGACACACTGGCAGGCCAAGGAGACCTGAGCTTTTGTGAAGTTCCAGCCAGCAAGTTACATCAAGGTTTTAGATGGCAGTGCTTGGCATTGTGCCATCATCACATGTCTGGATGAGATGTGCTGGTGGTAAATGTGTCATACCGGGCCTCAGGGCCCTCCTAGATGGGTTACCTTATTTTATGCATTGGTGCTGAGATGCTTCTAGTGTGCTGGAATGTCTGCATCAACAGCTTGTCTGGAACCCAGGATTGAAATAAAGCCTTCCTTTAACAGCTTTTCAGCTTTGGAATTACTGAATGTAGAGCATAGTGTAAAGGCAAGTTTTGAATTCTGATTGAAATACATCTCTCTAAAACTTGAGAGGGGCTAGTGGAAAAACTATGATAGTCTTTTTGCTGAGTCAGTTGTGCAGAACTAGATGAAGGGAATTTTCAGGCTGTGACCTGTGACCTCCATCCTTAACTCATTTTTCCCCCTTTATGGTAAATTCATTTAAAAAAAAAAACCTCCACCTGTCACTTAAGGGCAATTTTTGTCTCCTGGAATTAAAATAGAGTTGTTTATAGTAGAAAGCATTAAGGTTCTCCCTCCGCACCTGTCTGATTTTAGCAGCTGGAGGGATTAGTACAGCTGCTGGAAAAGAAAGGAGGGGGCCTCTGAGCTGCGGAATGAGCTATGTGAAATCCTTAAACTACAGTGGATTTAAGAAAGGTAAAAGATAAGGGACTGGTCTCTAACCTGTAATGTCAGTGCTGAACAAAATTTTAGAGAATCTGGTGAACAGCTTGATTTTACAAATGTGGAGACTGAAATTCAAATGAACTTAGAATAATGTGGTTTCAGGTTTCAAAACTAACGCTGTTTGCTTCTGAAGCAATCCTTAGTGCTGTTAAATTTATTCCTGTATATTCTGAGATTGCACGGTAGGTTACATAAAAGCAAGTGCTAGTGATGATCACTTGGGTTTTTTTGTTTTGTTTTTTTAATAACTATAATTAAATAACTATTTGAATGAGGAAGCTGACTCAGGGTATCGGGTACAGTATCTAAAGCAAGTAATGTGGGGCTAATCCCATCTTGAGGTCCAGGCAGAGGAAAACACTCTGCAAGTTGCAAGTTCTGATTAATATGTTTGAGAGCATTTGCACTGTAATCATAGGACTTTGACCTACTCACTCTCCAGGAGAAACTGGTTGAGCCACTAGTCTTTTCTGTAGCAGGATACTCTCAGTTGAGTACATTGTGAATTTGGATTCTATAGGCTTTCCTTTTTTAATACTCCCATCTAGATGTTAAGCGTTTGTTGATCTAATACTGTGTTACCTACTGATTAGTAAGCATGATTTTTTTCATCATTCAGAAAATCTTTTGCTTAGCATTACACTAGTGCCAAATACTGGTCTATTTTGGCAGAATGACATACTTATCCAGATTAAGGGGTGGAGATCCAGTGTATTCTCTCCACTCCTGTTCGAAATAGAACCACAGTCTGGTTTAACAAGTTGGATTACAATTTCATAATACAGTTCCTATCCTTGTGACTAAGCTCTGTCCCTTGTGATCTAATTCATCTGAAGGGGTAACATTACCTAGAAAGGTCTTTAGAGACTGAGTCCAGCCGTTTGTGGTTGATTGTTTGGAGTTAGTAAAATGAGGTATAGAGAGGCTAAGTGACTTAGTATTTAATACTTAGTATTAAATTCTAAGAGTCAGATTTTTCCTGACCTAGTGGAAGCCTTAACACTAAAAGACCTGTTTTTTCTCATTCAGATCTGATTCCCCATCATTATCATCATTCACTAGCTTCCTTGTTCCAGTTTTCAGTATTTCAATTCATGCTCCTTGGGTGGACGGGGTAGAACTGTTCTAGTGGTAATTATTTGGCCTGTGAAGAAGACATGGTTCATTTGAGGAGGAAAGGGAAGGGCACAACTGGGAAAAGGTAGAAAGCATGCTATTCCCAACTCATTCCTGGGCCTGTGCTCCCCATTTAGAGACTATTAGGCTGCTGTTAAGACTGTTCTCTTCACCCTAAAATAGTTCACTTATTTTGGTAGAACTTGGGAAACAAGAGATGAGGAAAGGAGTGTATTGTTACTTGACCACTGAAGTATGTTTGGGGAAGGTTGCTGTTGCTTGTCACCTTTGTCTAATCCTGTGTGGTGACTTTCATACTCAAATTTAAAATTCCAGTGTTTCCTGTGAGAGGCATGTTGTAGCAAGTTTGGCTGTATAACTCACCTTTGTTTTTTCCCTCCCTTTTCCTTCTTTATTTCCCGCCCCCCTCTTTTTTTTTCCTTTCTTCCAGCTGTGCTTCCTGTGTCTTCAGCCTTGAGTGTCACTGCTGCTTTAGCGCAGCCTAAACCTACCCCTACCCCTCCTTGTTCCCTGGCCCCTCAAGAGTGCCCCCTGGGAACCCCTCATCAGCCTTCCCCGTTACTTTCTCCCTCTGTTGCCTCAACCCCTTTTGAAGCTCCTTTTCCCCAGTCATCCACTGGGACAGCCCTTCCTTTGGGAGCTATCCCACCCCCTGCTGACGCCCCAACTTTCCTACCAAACCTAATGGGGCCTCCCATCTCCCCAGCTGCCTTAGCTCTGGCCTCTCCCATGATAACTATGAAAGGTGTTCATTCCTCTTCAGCTCCCTTGTCTCTGGTGGCCCTGGCACCCCACTCAGTTCAGAAGAGCTCTGGCTATCCACCTAACCCTTTTAGTTCACCTCCTTCGGTTGCAGTGGCTGAATTGGGATCAGTGACATCTCCATCAACTCCCATTGCTTCCACAAAACCAAAGACCTCTCCCATTCAGACTTCCTCTCATGTAGTCCCTAATCCAAAAGATATCCCCATCCCTCCAGGTATAGTCAGTACTATTCCTTCCCATCTTGTGACTCCTTTGGCCTCTGTTCAATCTGGAATAGCCTCATGTCCTCAGATGCCACCTGCCACTCCCCTGGACATCCCTTCCCCTCAGGTCAAAGGTATCCCTGTTTCCTCAGCTCTGACGTCTCCACAAAATCCAGTAAGCCTCAGCCTAAAGGGACCCGTTAGTCCACCTGCTGCCTTATCTCTTTCAGCTCAGTCTGTGGCCCCTGATGTCCCCCCAGTTTTCCTCAGTTCTCTGGGCTCTCACCCTGCACCTTTTCATCAGAGTTCTCTTGGTTCTCCAGTCCCACCTTCAGGTCAAACAGTCTCTAATGTTCTGTCAGATCCTATAGAAGATACTGTTTCTGTAGATCACTCTTCTACAGGTGCCTCTTGCCCTTCTCAGAGATCTGTGATTCCTCCCCTTCCTTCCGGAAATGAGATGGTTCCTGCTGGTGAGGTGGTTCCAGTGGGGGTTCCAACTTCCCCTTTGGCTCTGACTGTTGACAGAGGCCCCTCTACCATCACTGGCATAGCCTCCTGCAGCCCTTCTGGCTCCTCAAATGTAGCTACCTCTTCTCCCTCATCTCCTACAGCCTCTCTCATTCTCAAAGACTCTCCTAATGCTTCGCATCAGCCTTTGGTGGCCCAAATTACTGCTGCTTCTCCGGGGAGCTCAGACTTGAAGAAAGCTCCTGTTTCTTCTGTTGGAACCACTCCGCTTGTGATGACTAGCCCCTCTACAATTTCTGGAGCACCTGTTACCTTTGAGGTAGCCACTTGTGTCTCTCCTCCAATTTCATCAGGTCCCATAAGTAGTAAGGATTCATCTTCTCATACTGCCATGGTTGTGGCTCCCAAAGAGCTTTCTGTTTCTCAAGTAACCACCACTCTGGGGATACCAGTCTCTCCACCTGTGCCAGCTCCCACTGAGGACCCCAGATGTCTCCCTGTTTCAGGATTAGTGAAGTTCCCAACACAAGATCTCCAAACTGCACCTGCCTCTGCTATAGGAGTTTCATCAGCCCTGGTAGCCCCTAAAACTCCCCCCTGTCTCCAGAGTACATCATCTTCTCTGGAGATAGCTCTTTCTCCTGAAGCCACTTTAGCAAAGAAAAGCTATGTAGAGCCTCTCCCCGTAGTTAAGCCGGGCAGTGCTACTCCCTCTCCTCTGGGTGTTAACTCCCCAGCCTCTACAATGAAGACAGATTCTTATGCAAACCCAGACCCCATTAGTCTGCTTTTCAAAAATTCTCTCACTACCACAACTGAAGCTGCATTTCCTTTGGAAAGTGCTGCCATTGATGGGATGGCTCCTACAACTGTCAAAGGAACCTCCACTCTTACAACTACAGCCAGCCCTCTTATAGAAGGCACTGTCTCTTTAGCTTCTAAAAGCCACCCAACCAAAAAGGGTATTTCCACTCTTACTACTTTACCTTTGATCCCTCCAGCCTCCGAAAGTTGTCCTGTGGCTCCAGCTGTAACTTTATCTCCCCAGAATCTTTCTCCTTCTCCAGCTACTGTGGCACACGTCCCTGAAACTCCCACATCTGAGTCCTTTCCCTCTCTTCCTCCAGCTGGTACTCGTCAAGGTGCAAAGAAAGTTCATGATATTTCTCAAACCTTACCATTGGCACCTATAACTTCCTCTCCTGAAGGATGCCCAGCTGAGGACTCTGGTGCTTCTGTTACTGCATCTTCCAAAGGAACTTTCCTAGCTGACTCCCCATCTCCTTTAGGGACTAGTGTGTCTCCTCAGTCTAAAAGACCTCCAACCAAGAAGGATTCAGCTTCTACTACTACTACCTTAAGTCTTACTCCTTCTGTTTCTAAAAGTGTACCTGCTATCCCTGATACTTCTGTTGGAAATCTGTCATCCCTTATTTCTCCAGTTGAAGCATCCTCTCTTCCAGAGACCAGTCTTTCTTTTCATGTCCCTAAAGGATCACTAGCCAAGAAGCATTCCCCTACTCCACCATCCCCCAAAGAGTCTCCCATTCCCCCACCTATGGCTCCTCCTTCTCCCAAAGGAGGACCAGCAACCCTATCCCCTAAAGAGACCCTCACTCCTCTAGCTATGGCTCCTTCCCTCAAAGAAGCCCCAGCAACTCCGACCCTCAAGGAGTCTCCCACTACTCCATCTCCCAAAGGGGCCCATACTTCCCCCAAAAGGAGCCCAGCAACTGCATCTCCCAAAAAGGTTCCC